GGGGGGGGCGGAGGCAGTGGACACCATGTGCTGGCCCTCTCCAGCCAGGGCCCTACCAGGGCCTAGCCAAGCACGTCTCAGTTCTTGCAGTTCTCTCCCATGACCTTGTCACACACACACTTCAGAAATACGTATCTATGTTCTGAGCAAAACCAAAGGTTAAAGTCTGATTTTCAAGTCATAGCAAAGCCAGGCCCTCATAACCCAAGCAGATTCACCTCTAGGGCATTCTGAGAGTAGCCAGCCCCTCTGGTCACCTTTCCCTGCTCACCCCTCTCTGGTGACTCCCCTGTGGTCAACCCCCTGCCTCCTGCTGCTCAGCCTTGCACCATTGCCCAGACCCCCAGTGTAGGCTCCACCCACTAACATACCTCTTGCTCGTGCCCCACTAGGACCCCACCAATGGCTACTACAGTGTCAACACCTTCAAAGAGCACCACTCAACACCCACCATCTCACTATCCAGCTGCCAGCCAGACCTGCGCCCTGCCGGCAAGCAGCGTGTGCCCACAGGCATGTCCTTCACCAACATCTACAGCACCCTGAGTGGCCAGGGTCGCCTCTACGACTACGGGCAGCGGTTTGTGCTGGGCATGGGCAGCTCGTCCATCGAGCTGTGCGAGCGGGAGTTCCAGCGGGGCTCGCTCAGCGACAGCAGTTCCTTCCTGGACACACAGTGTGACAGCAGCGTCAGCAGCAGTGGCAAGCAGGATGGCTACGTGCAGTTCGACAAGGCCAGCAAGGCGTCGGCCTCCTCCTCCCACCACTCACAGTCCTCATCCCAGAACTCCGACCCTAGCCGGCCGCTGCAGCGGAGGATGCAGACTCATGTCTGAGGCCCATGGGTGGGGGTGAGGGGGCAGCTCCCTCCTCCAGGGGGACAGCCTCCTCCCCCCCACACCATCCTCCTCCCAGATCTCCGACCCTAGCCAGCCCTTGCAGCAGAGGATGCAGACTCATGTCTGAGGTCCATGGGTGGTGGCAGCTCCCTCCTCTGGGTAGGGGGAGAGGACAGCCTCCTCCCAGCCCTGATCAAGCACAAGGTGGGCTGCAGGGAGCCCAAGGAGTGATACAGACTGAGCACGCAGAGAATGTGGTGTCCAGATGTCTCCTCCAACCCCTCCTGGAGATCTCTGTCCAGTCTGCTCTTCCAGGCCCCTCCTGGCAGCTAGGACTTTGCTTTAATGAGACTGTTGTTCACTCTCTGGTCTCCCAGTGGCTCTCCCGTCCTGCCAGTCAACCCACCTCTGTACCAGTGCTCCTAGAAGACCCCCAGTAAGGGGCTGGGTGAAGTTCTTCCCAGCACTGGGCTGACCCTGTGACCCTAGCTCCTCCACTGCTCAGAGCCCCACTAGAGCCTGAGAAGTCAGAAATGGCCCAGTCAAAGGACCCCATCTCCCCATTCGGGCCAGGAGCTGCCCTACTTGTTTGCTGTTCTGTGTCTGTACTCTTGCAGTCTGTCCTTGGGCTCAATGCCTCTGAAAGTGAAGCGGTGCATTGGGAGGAAGAGAGGACAAAGGCAAGGCGGGGGACTGGAACCCACTGCCAAACACATCCCTTCCTAAACTCTGTGATCTGGAGCTCCCACTTCCCTGCTCTGTGTACCCCCCAGCTACCCAACAGCACAACTGGTGTTAATAGACGAGTGTGAGAGATTCTCTGAGCAGGCTGTGTTATAGTCACGAGAGTGTGTGTTGGACAGTGCAGAGCTAAGAGACAGTTCATTTGGAGATTGTCTTAGGTGCCCAGTGCTTCTATAAGAAAAAGAAAAGTGGGTGGCTTGAACAAAGAGAAATTTACTTTCTCATATTCAGGAGGCTAGAAGTCTGAGCGTAAAGATTTTTTTTTTCCCCTCTGTATTTTCAGTTCCAGCTCGTCCTTGCCTTTTTTGAGTTCCTGGTGATCTTCATATGACTTGGTATCTCTCTTTCCCCATTTATGCTAATTACTTTGCATTTAAGTGGATTGTACAAATCTGCCAGTTGCTCAAGGCAATCTCCTCCCATGCAGCCTCTGAAATCCTGATAGAGGGTCATCTATGAGTAATTTCCATCTCAAGGGCAATGAGTTTGAATTTTTAATTTGATATCTCAAGACATTAGCTCTAGATACACCCTACACTAATCCAGCATCATCCAGCATAACAGAGGCCACTCATTCCCAAATGGGATTACAATAGTATAAGCATTGGTAATTAAGATTTACAACATGTATTTTGGGAGACACAATTCTATTCATAGCATTCCACCCTCTGCCACCACCGAAAAAAAAAATAAAATCACATTTTGCCACACATAAAATATATTCACATCATCCCAAGAGTTAAAAATATCATCCTCTGAACTACCTAACTCAAATACAGGTGAACTTTCAGGCAAATGTCTGTCCTAAAGCAAAATTCCTCTTCATCTGTGAAACTAAACTAAATCAAGAATAGAATTTATCTTTTTCCAAGGTGCCATGTACAATAGGCACAAGGGAGATATTTTTATTTCAAATGGAAGAAACTGGCAAGAAAGAAGAAATAACAGGCATCAAGAAAGTTCAAAACTCAGCAGAACAATTTACATTGGCTTTTAAGACTTCAGAAGAATTCTGTGTCTCCTGATACCATCTGTACAATAGGCCTGCCCTCTAGATTCAATGTCACCACCTTGTGATTCTGGGTCCATAACCCTTGGCCCTGGTCCCTCCACCTTCTAGGCCCACAGGCATTACAACTGGGATGTCCACCTTTGGGTGGCCCCATGCTCCAAGTCCATTTGAACAGCAGCATTAACCCCTCAGCCGGGCAGGCCCCTGAGCAGACAGATTTACTGTTCCACTTTGGACAGTGGCCTCATCCCCCTAGCACACCATGACAGCAGCCTCACACTCCAGAACTGAGTCACTGGAGATGCAACTCTTTGAAACTGGGGAGATCCAGGAAACCATGGCCAGGCCCTTGGACATGAAGAAGGTCCTGTGTCATATGTTCCTCCAGCAGTTCTACTGGCCTCTAAGCCCTAGAATGTTTCCTTCCTTCCTTTGGAGACAATGGGTGTAGCTCTTTGGGCCTGTTTATTCCCTATAGATTCCCAACAGGCAAACAGCCCTTTCTTTGTCCTTTGCAGCCTAATCAGATGATTTTTTGCTGTGATAGATAGGTAGACTCATCAGTCATAATTTTCATCTCTTTAAGAAAAGATTACATAGTCATGTCTTTCATGAACATTCTAGAACATATGTCCTTCATTTCTACTACGGAAATCTTTATGACTTGTTTTTATTTTACACAGTTCATTTAAGTTCACCACCTTACTTTTGCATTTTATTATTAGTAGCAATGAGTGACCATACTGCCACTTCGAGATCTTCCTTTGAAATTTCTTCAGCCAGATATCCAAGTTCATCACTTAAAAGTATACCTTCCAAAAAACAAGTGAACATTATTCAAACAAGTTCTTCACAACCTCATTAAAAGCATAGTCCTTCCTCCATTGTCTGATCACACATTCATCATTTTTACAGCCCTACCAGAGGAATATTGAAGGTCCACATTTTTAGAGACATGCAGCTGCTGGAGCTATATGTATACTCTAAGGGACTTTATCGTCCTAAAAGAAGAATAAATGCCTTTCCATTATGGTGTTGAAAAAGAGTGATGAATATTCCATGGACTGCCAAAAGGACAAACAAATATGTGTCCTGGAAAAAGGGCAGCCAGAGTGCTCCTTGGAGACAAGGATAGTGAAATTTCATCCCACAATCTTTGGGCATGTTGTTAGGAGGGGCCAAGCATCGTGCTTTGAAAGGTGGTAGTTTAGCATAGGAGCAGAAGATCCCCAACGAGATGGAATGACAAAGGGACTTCAGCAATGGGCCCAAGTGTGTCAAAGATGATGAGGATAGCACAGGGTGGGACAGGGTTAGAACTCTTTTTCTTGGGGCCTCTGTGAATCATTGTGAACTTGGTGGTACCTAACAAAAACACCACTTCTTTCTAAGCCATCAACAGAATTGCCTTTGATATCAGTAATTTTACTGACAGTCTCGTCAAGGAAATCTAGGTTTTACTATTATTGTTGTTATGTGTCATCGAGCAACCCTATGAACAGCAGCTCAGAACCCTGAACTCTGCCCTGTCCTGAGTCAGCCTCATTAATTCTGACACACCTATCCCCATTGCCCCATTTGCTACTAGGCACCTTAAAAAAATCTTCTAGATTTAGCCCTTAACCAGTTCCAAAACCCCATCTGCACTGTAGATATATGTTAGAGCAGCACCCCATTGCCAGTGCCAAATTCTATCAATTCTCTAGTGCAGCTGTAAGATAAACATAAGTGGGTAACTTAACAAGTAGATCTTCACACCTTCACGTTTTGTGGTGAGGTGCCCTTGAGCCAACTACAACTTACAGTAACCCTACAAATGACAGGAGCCATCCTTAGGATCTCTGATCTGCTTGAGCCCACTGTTAGCCACTATGTCAGACCATCTTGTTGAGGATCTTTCACTCTTCACCTTTCTCAGGATGGTATCTGTTTCCAAGGACTGATCCCTCCTGACAATATTCCCAAAGTCTAAGAGACACAGCTTCACCCTCCTTGCCTCCAAGGAGCAATCTGGCTGCATTTTCTTTTAACAGTTCATGGGATATTCTGTACTCTTCTTGAACATCACAACTCAGAGGCATAAAGGTGATGTTCTTGTTCTTTAGGACTTTGGAGAGGTCCTTGACAGCAGATTTCCTCACGATAACACATCTTTTGCTTTCTTGACTGTTGCTACCATAGATGTTGATTGTGATACTGGTAAAATGAAACCATTGACAATATCAATCTCTTTTACATCTATCATGATGTTGCCTATTGATCCAGTGGTGAAGATATTTGTTTTCTTGATGTTGAGATGCAACCCATAATAAAGGCTGTAGTCTTTGATCTTCTTCAGTAAGTGCTTCAATTCTTCTTCACTTTCTGCAAGCAAGGTTGTCATCTTCCTAAAACAAGATATTGGTGAGTCTTCCTCCAATCTGGATACCACATTCATCTTCCTTAATTCCAACTTCTTGAATTATTTGTTCAGCATCCAGATTGAATAGAAATGGAGGAAGGATACAATACTGATATACACCTTTCCTGATTTAAAACTATGCAGTATTTCCTTGCTCTGTTTGGACAAGAGCCTTTTGTTGTATGTGTATGTTTTTCATGAACACAATGAGGTGTTCTGGGATTCCTATTCTTCTCAGTTAAGATCCATATAGTCAAATACTTTTGCATAGTCAACAAAGTACAAGTAAACATCTTTCTGGTATTCTTTGCTTTCAGCCAAAATCCGACATCAGCAATGATATCCCTCATGCTATGGCTCCTTCTGAATCCAGCTTGACTTTTTGGCAGTTCTGTCAATGTGTTCTGTTTCAGCCATTTTTGTGTGAATTCGGGTTTAGGCTCTATTGAAAGGCTTCCCCTCTCCCTCTGTTGGCTTGGAGGAAGGTCCCTATTTCTTCTGAGCTTCTCTACTCCTGGTGATGTCCATGTAGCTGGGGTCTTTTACCCTATCTCTGCTTACTTGCTTTTAAAATCCCTTTTATAGCTCAAAGAGATTGGCTGTAGATACACCTGCTACTGACTTTGTCCTATTAACAGAGGCGACTCATTATCAAAGGGGATTATAAAGTCTGGCATTATGGTTAGGATTTATAACACCTGTTTTGTGGGGGACACAGTTCACCCCATAAGAAGGGAGATGAAGATCAGATCTTTAAGGTAATGAGATAGTTCAGCTGATGAATCTCAAGGGCACAGAACAATGGTCTTATCTTCATTAAGACCCCACCTATAAGAAATAAACCTGTGTCACAGCTCTCTTGCTTAT